TCTCTCATTAACAAGCGTCGTCTTTTAAAACACGCTAAAAAAAGGCCACTTAAGTGAATTCGCGCTCGACAAATTTTCAGATTTTCCCTCGTCTCTGAAAACTTTATCTCTCCCTCCTTGAAACCTCTTGAGCTCCTCTCTTCTTGAAACCCTCCTGAGCTATCTGAAACACTCAATCTCTCACCTTTCTACTCCTCATACGTACCTACCAGCCATCGACGCCGTCAACGCCATCGACGCAGCGACGCCATCAACGCCATCGTTCTTCGAATCAGTCATCACTAGCTGCCATCGACGCCATATTCACAGTCAACGACGACGATGTCCTTGAAAACATATCTAGAGACCTTGCGAGATGGGAAAATCCTAGAACATCAGATTTGGTCTTCGATGTCGCTTGAGGTTCGATGACAGATCTCCATCGCACCTTCTTGGTGAGCTCGCCATCCACGTCACAAAAGAAACTCTAAGTTAGTCAAAATATTCGTTATAAATATGGTATTTTGTATGGATATAGTAGGAATCAAGATTGGTAAACAATGTAATTACAATTGAATCTTCAAGTTTTATGAAAGAAATAATTTTTTAGGATATCTAAAATGAAATTAGTACATCATTTTTACAGATAATAAACGGCGATTTTTTGGAACAAAACCGTCTTTTTTAGATTTAATAGACGTCTTTGGATATAATAAACGACGGTTTTTTAAGAAAAAGTGTCATCTTTACATTTAAATAGACGACGGTTTTTTCAGAAAAAGTGTCGTCTTTATATTAAATAGACGACGGTTTTTTCAGAAAAAGTGTCGTCTTTATATTAAATAGACGACGGTTTTTTCAGAAAAAGTGTCGTCTTTATATTAAATAGACGACGGTTTTTTCAGAAAAAGTGTCGTCTTTATATTAAATAGACGACGGTTTTTTCAGAAAAAGTGTCGTCTTTATATTAAATAGACGACGGTTTTTTCAGAAAAAGTGTCGTCTTTATATTAAATAGACGACGGTTTTTTCAGAAAAAGTGTCGTCTTTATATTAAATAGACGACGGTTTTTTCAGAAAAAGTGTCGTCTTTATATTAAATAGACGACGGTTTTTTCAGAAAAAGTGTCGTCTTTATATTAAATAGACGACGGTTTTTTCAGAAAAAGTGTCGTCTTTATATTAAATAGACGACGGTTTTTTCAGAAAAAGTGTCGTCTTTATATTAAATAGACGACGGTTTTTTCAGAAAAAGTGTCGTCTTTATATTAAATAGACGACGGTTTTTTCAGAAAAAGTGTCGTCTTTATATTAAATAGACGACGGTTTTTTCAGAAAAAGTGTCGTCTTTACATGTAATAGACGACGGTTCTTTTAAAAACCGTCGTTTTTACATATAATAGACGACGGTGAATTACCGTCGTAGTTTGACTTACAAAAAGACGACTGTCGATTTAACGACGGTTTGAAAAAGAAAAAGACGACGGCGTTTCCCCGTCGTCTATTTCAATTTTTGTAGTAGTGGGTTCAAGCTCTAACCGGTTAATTAGTTAATATTTCATTAATAACTACTCATTTTGGCCCACTTCATACTATCATTCATATTGATAATAATATATCCATTCATTACAATCATATAATTGTTATGAATTTTAAAAATCGTTGAAAATTAATCTCATCATCTACACTATTCAAACTATAAAAAAAATGTTCATAAATCTCAAAGATAAATAAAAGAGGAAGAGAGATTTTTTAAACATCACGAGAAAAAACTAGCTATAAGACAGAGAAACCAAAGCAAAAGCACAAAAGCCAACAAGAACAAAAAGCTACGGGGAATTAGATTATCCAGAGAAACAAATGACCCAAAACACCTGATCTCTGTATATTATATATACCTAAGTAAATATCGAGAAAGAAAAGAATTTGGGGGAGAGGGGGGAGCTAGGCCCACCCTGGTCCTTAGGTGGCTCCGCCCACTAGGTCAAAATGATCGTATTAGTTTTTTTTTGTTTTTTTTGTTTTTCCTTAAACTCACAAAAACAGGACACCATGAGAGATACTTTTATACAAGTAATTTTGGAGGGGGGAGATTGAAATTAAAACCTCAGTTACACGGATAAATGCTCTTAATCATATAGATTATACAACTTTCTTTTTTGGGTGAATATTTGGATACAATAGTAGTTTTCAACTTTCCAAAATTAAAACCAAAAAAAGGTGACTTGCTTTGTCTCAAGTACGTATAATTAATAAACTAATTAACTAATGGCTCATAAGTAGGAGTCCCATATGGACAAATGCTGGATATTCTCACACTCCCCCCCCAACTCAACCTCCTCATCATAATACTCAACACACGACATGTCGTCCCCTAACAACGACAGACCCTCATGGCAATGAGCCCTGTACATGTACCGCATCCACAGCTTCGGCGAGTCCAATGGCGACTCGTTAATAGCCTGGATTTGACTCGGCGACAGCCCCACCGTCACAGGCATTGAGCTCAAGTCCCTTGGCGAGGACGAGTCACCCGCCACCTCAGTCGAAACAGCCCCCATTCGCAGCCTCCTAACCCTCAATGCAGCCTCTTGAGCCGCCAATTGCACGTCCATCGGGCTAGAACTCGCCGGCCTCGGCAGGCTATCAACCAATTCAGGAAAATTCAGCACCGCGCCACGTCCTCTCAGGTGCAATGCCGCCGCATCATAGGCCGCGGCAGCCATTTCTGGCTCTTCGTAGCTCCCGAGCCATATTCGAGTTTTCTTCCCTGGCTCGCGGATTTCAGACACCCATTTGCCCCATTTTCGCTTGCGAACGCCTCTGTATCGTGCCGAAGAAGGGACGTGGTGGCAATCGGCAGCCGGTGGTTCCATTAACGATGGGGGGTTTAGTAAAATTTGATGGTTTTGTTTAGAGCTTTGATCACAGGAAGAAATTTCAGTGTGATGAGTATGGATTTGGTGCTTTAGATATATACAAGTACGTTAGTATGCAGATGCGGTGATTATTAAAGCATTAGGGTGGGGGTGGTGCTGGAGCGAGGTTTCCAAGTAGTTACGTAAGTGGGAAGATGCTGGCAATTAGCGCATGTGCATATTAATTTTTTCCATTCAAATAATGCCACGTGCTGATGTTCACATACAGTTTTTTTCTTCTTTTTTTCTGATGATGTTCACACACTACATGTACTGTTGCTGTTGTTTTCACTTGTATATATGAACATATTTTTATGTATGTGACATGTCATTCTTTAGAAATGGTTGTTTTACAAACAGGACAGGGTATAAAATCTAGGTTATTCGAACTTATTAATAAACTAATAACTTATACATGTAATTGTATACATGACTTTTCTATAACGTGACATGCCGTTGTAGTGTTATTTATCTAGTCAAATATTGTAACGTGTATAGCGAGTGATATGTTTATATTTTTTTTATGTATATAATGCTATACTACATTTTGTAATTTGAGTGGTTGGATAACGCCACATCGACATAACGCATAATACTATGATCATCATAACGAAAAAATTATTTGCTTGATTGAGAATATTTATGTTACTTGACTATCAATCAGAATTTGGATATTCAAATCATTAAATTACACATCAAGGTGGTTTCCGATTAAGTCGCCAATTAATTTGAAGTCTTATTAATTAGAATGCTAATAATATAATTGAACTTGTTAGGTCTATTGTATGATGTTTTTCATATATATTATCAGTCAACACTATAATTCATCATGTAAAATCATGCAAAGTTTGTATTTCAAAAAATAAACGCGACTCTACGAAAATTTCGAACTTATTTAAATTTATTTGTAAAGTGAGTTTAGGCCAATCTATTTTGAAATTATGACTCCATTCTTCATTAGTTTACTTAGTAGTCTCCTAGTGTCAATACACTTTTCTTTTTATATTTATTTGTTCGTTTATGCTTATTTTAAGATATTTTTGGTTAAACATAAGCTCTTTTAGTTTTTAATTTTTTAAATTTTGAATAAACAGAGAAACAGTACACAATCATATGAGATATGAGTCTTTTGCATTTGATTCGGGACCAGAAAAACAGGTCAAAACTTTGCATGAATGGACCTGTTGTGGGCACATCACAACACATAAAGCACACGAAATAGACTTGGTAAGGAAACATAGACGCACACACGTGTATACATACATATTTTTTGAATGAATTAACACTTGTACCAACAACATAGAATAATACATGAAGCTAGAAATATATTATAAAACATGGTTTGTAGGTCAAGGCCTTCACTGTTTTTAGTCATCTAGTTTCAAAAACAGCTGTCTCAAGCTAAGCTTGACTGCCAGCCAGCTGGTTTGTCTCTTCTCTTCATATCCAATCCATGGAAAGAGATGGCCCTTTGTCACCAACAACAACCTTGAAACATGCATGGAATGGGGAAAAAAAAAACAAATTTCTTAGTTGACTGACTGAATCAGTCGCACCGCCCCTCACCGTACCCAAGTACGGTTTGCGCGTGAACAGGCAGATTCTGATTGACCACAATATATCGCTAGCCCTCTTTCTTTTCTCTCTCTTTCTTTTTCTCTCTATCTCATGATCCGTACGACATTCTAATGTTCTATGACCAGATATATATTACGGGTGGCAAGAGATGGACTATTTGGCAAAGTGGCTTTCGGCTAATGGCAGACCAATAAAGTTTGTCAAGGGGGGTACTCATTTGTACCATGTGTTTAGGTTTACCATATGCGTAAGGAAGGAGGCACTAGGGGTTTACGTTGAGGGGTGAACAACGTACTGATGCGTTCAACCCTGCCGTCAAATAGTTGTCCACTTGATAGCTATATTCGGGATGCCTTTATTATAACCCCACGTTATAAGTTATAACTCCCTCGTTACAGTATCTTTGAGGCCTTATATATGGATTTGAGGTGAGATTCTATCTCTTAATCGTTGGATTAGACTAATCAATTTGATTCAATGGCTAACTAATTTGATTCAACAGTTAAGTTAAGAGATGAAGCCTCACATAAGGGTCACATATAAGGCCCGCACTAAAGAATTCTTGTACCCATAAAACAAACTTCTCGGCATAATGGGCCATTAACATCCTTTTGGGCTTGTTGGCCGAATGAGCCATCTCTCATTATCTTGTCACTAATACTAATAAAACAAAATACATATTTATTAATAATACAATCTAACCCAATTTATTTATGCTAAATTTGCAGGACTAAACGTCATCCAAAAGTTTACATGGATGACATAAAAATTCTAACAGCTGACAGCTAAGCTAACCAACCTCCGAACAATTCTAACAGCTCTAACCAACTCTAACCACTGGGTAAACAGGAGCCTCAAAAATGATGATTAAGAATTAATTTGAAACTGAATTACTTTCTGATAAATCCATGTAGTATGCAGACCAGGACATAAAATATAATGGCACCAGCAGCAGCTGAAATATGAGAGATTGGAGAAGGCGCCACATCAAATATATGCAGACCAGGAGAGCAAGCTCATAAACGTCCGCAGCACAATTAACGACTTTTCTAGCTTAAGAACACACACCAAATCAAAGTTACCGATGGCAAAGAAAACACACCTTCTAGAGGAACAACAAAACACACCTTCCAGGTAAATTGCAAACCCAAATTCACCAGTTCCTCAGAGTACATTTTACGAATTAATGACACAAAGGAAGTTTTGCAAATGATCAATACACCAGTAGATATAAGGTGTTCACAAAGTTTGTGCTTACAAAACAAAAAAAATAAGGGCAATTGAATCATCAAGCTCAGTTGAACTTCCAAATTCACCATGTCAAAGGCAGTGGTGAAAATAATCAAAATTTCAATACACCAGTAGAATAGTTAAATATTGGAACTTCTGTAGGCTGACTTTTGATGGTTTACATCACTCTGTTTGCTTCAATAGAGGTCCCTGAAATCATGACACATACACAGTTGATCAATTAATTTGCTTCTTGCAATCATTTCTCTTAGAGGGAATTAAATTTTTTGAGAAACAACTAACTAAAGCATGCAGATTAAACAAAACAACAAACCTCGTGTGGCATAACAAGTAAATTAATTTATTAATACTAGCTAATTTAAAATTAACTCCAAAGATTTAACAAAACAAACATCAAAGCACCTAAAACAACTGCCTAACAGGAATGCGAACAATTAGTTTTACTTTTAGTACAAAATTAAAAAGGAAAGTACCTTTTAAAGAAGATTATCAAAGTACGCACCTTTCATACTCATCTCAAGCTCGCCGAGACAGATGTTTTCATAAATGTGCTTTGCGAGTCACGACCATCCTCTGAAGATTTTGAAGGAAACAAATAAGATCATAGTTGGAATTGATACATAAGTACTTAAATAAGAGATTGCTAGAGCTCAATTACCTGATAATGCGGATGTTTGGGTTCGTAGCAGAAATCTTGGCCCACTCTCCATTGCCTTCTTGGTAACGCTCTACAAGTCTCTCAGATCCAGGGATGCGAAGAGTCTGCAGTGGTGTTTTGAAGACGAAGTCTGGCAGTGCTTTTAGCAATGCGCAATTCTCAATTGTTAACTCAGAAAGGCATGGCATGATTGTAATTTCAGAATCCTCTTTCGTCCACTCTTCCACGCCTTCCCACTCTTCCCAATACGACATGTAGAAAAACTCTAGTTGTTTCAATTTTGGGAATAATATCAGGGGTGGTGATCTGATTCTGAATGAGGTTTGATCTTCTAATCCCAAAAATTCAACACCGACCTTTCTCACTCCATACGTCCAGTATAGGGTCAGTCTTTCAAGGTACTCCAATTTCCCAAGAGGCCAAACTTCACACTGTGTCCCATAAGAAAGATTGAGGAATCTCAAATTGTGTAAAGACTGCATCCAATTGGGCCACGTGGTGCCATTATAATCCCAAATATCTAAAGATTCCAAATCTGGGGACGGTCGTAAGGCATTCAGTATTTCTACACTACTACTACTACTACTATTGTTCGTCTGCCTCTGAAAAACAAAGGTAAGATGAAATAGCTTTTTGTCCGACAATTGTGCTTTCTCAACCTCGCTCTTATCTGTCGCATCCCCCACAAGTTGTATTCTGAGACTTCCCTCAAGGTTCAACTTTCTCATATCCCCAATTTGGAATGCTTCATCGTTGTCGCCACCACACCGACACACATCTAGTGTTTGTAAACTTGTTAATCTCCTTATCCCTTTGGGCAACTCTAGAACTCGACAACCGGTAACATAAAGATGCTTTAAGCTAATCAAGTTTCCCATGTTTTCAGGTAGTTTTTTAAGTTTAGAGCAAAAACGAAGGCACAAGGTAGACAAATTGTACAAACCACAAATAGTGTCCGGTAATTTCTCCAAATCATCATTGTAAGACAAATCAATATACCTCAAATGTATCAATTCACCAATCTCCTCTGGGAGTTCTTTGATGGAATTATCACTCAAATTTAATGTCCTAAGACATTTCAATTGTAAAATTAAATTTGGGTCTATGGTAGTAATTCCTGAATCAAAAGTTGCGAGCGTGCGAAGCTTTTTGCAATTGTAGGATGAGATAACAAGTGGACCTTCAGGAACATATCTCAAGGTCAAATGACGAACCTTATCATCCAATACCTTTGATTTGTTGGTAGTTTCCTCACCATGATCTATAATCAAACACTCGTTCTTGGTGAGAAATTGCACAAAGTCATGCACAATATCATGCATTTTGCAACTTGTAATTCTACCAGTTTTACGATCTTCATCAAAATTCTGGAAAAATGATCGGGCCACTAAGTTGTCAAAAACTGCATCACCTGTTGTTCCCTTACTTTTATTCCCTTTCGAAATAACATAGTCTTGTGCCATCCAAAGTTTAATCAAATCATCTCGTTTAAACTCGTAATCTTTAGGAAAAGTAGCACAATATAAAAGGCAAGATTTAATTGTTGGGGACAAATCATAATAACTTAGGAATAAGGGTTGGAAAACTTCTTGCTCGACCTTCTCTAGATCCCATATCTTACTATTCAAAAGTTCTTTCCATTCTCTCATTGTTCTCTTATTCTGCATGAGACTACCTAAAGTCTTTGCAGCAAGAGGCAAACCTTTACACTTCTTTACAATTTCCTTGCTAATGTCTCCAAACTCGTGTACATCCCTATCCGAAAAGGCCATGTGATTGAAGATTGACAAACAATATTCATCACTCAACTCTCCCAGATTGATCATGTTTCTTGTTGCTCTCATCATATTAGCAACCTCTAGTTTTCTTGTGGTCACCAGTATTCTGCTGCCTTTAGCACCACTTTGGATTAATGGCACCTTTAATTGTTCCCACTTTTTAGGATCATCGGTCCATACATCATCCAAGACAAGGAGAAACCTTTTGCCCTGGATGGATTTAGACATACATTGCAAGACCTCATCCAATTCATTTGAACTTGGGGCGTCTTTACCAATAATGGCTTTGGCAATCTTAATCTCATCATAAGGGTCTGAAACACAAACCCATTGCCTCATATCAAAATGGGATTTGACTCGGTCATCATTATAGGCTAGTTGGGTCAGAGTTGTCTTCCCCATGCCTCCCATCCCTACAATAGGGATGAGAAGGAGCCCCTTTTCTTCTTCACTACTATCACCTAACAACTTTGTTATCAAACTATTCTGTTCCTTTTCACGACCTGTTTCCCTCTTTTCGGCCGGGTAGGCCGATGGAAGGAGTTTTTGGTCCTTCTTCTCTTGAGATGCGTAGGCGTGCCACCACCAAACCACTTGATGACTTGGATGGAAAGATTGTGTGAGTGTGTTTGCGCTTCTGACTTCTAATCAAACAATTGATCGACCAAGCAAGGAACCTCCTCTTGGTCTAGGTTCTTTTTCTTCCTTGAGGTCAAGGATGATTGAGCTTTGTATGACTATTTTTAGGATTTTTGTGATAAGTGTAGTGAATGTAAATGCAGGAAATGAAATGACAAAAATTTAAATGCGATTAAATAGATTAAAGCGATAAAGACTTGAATTAAATTCGAATGTAAAGACAATTGGAATTAAATTGCAAGAAAGTAAGCTTACACTAGAAAAACGAAGAACTCGGATAATCTGAATAGCTTGAAAGATAAAATCCTAGACTATGAATTGAAAAGTACAGGATAAAGAGATAGATTTTGTGTGTTCAGTTGGCGGTCCTCTTCTCTTCTTCTGACGATCAATTTATAGAGCTTCCTTCAGCTCATGGGTTTGGCCATTAAATGGCCTCAACTAACTTTCATTGAAAATCC